TCTCTCTCTCTCTCTCTCTCTCTCTCTCTCTCTCTCTCTCTCTCTCTCTCTCTCTCTCTCTCCCCCCATCATTATTTATTTGTTTTTTCCTTCCCATCTCTCTTGTAGGGGCAATTACATAACTGAAACCGAAGACAACCATCTAAACATTTGTCATTAAGCGAACGCCTGGACAACCGCCCAATCAACATCTTTGTCTTCCTATCTCTCTTATAAGACCAATCAACTTCTTTCACTGGAACGATACTCTTGCAACAACTCACGAACAGAAACTCATTGCAACACTTTACGACGATACTCCTTGAAAGTTCCGAATCGAGTTTGTCTTTGTCGATTGTAATCGAGATGAATTGCAACATCCACACATCTCCAAGTGTTCATACTCGTATTCAATTTCGTAGCTGCTTCCACAATATTTTGCACCCTTTGAGGACTGTCAAGATATGACAAGTGTGTGTTCAACAGAGTTACTCATGGTAATGTTAAAATTATAAGAACTTGGTTGTTCCAATGGTCATGTATGGACATGCAGATGGTCTCTTGATGGCGTATGAGCGGGCACAACACAACTGACAAGAGACGAAGTAGCCGTAGCAGCAGGCAAAGCAGAAACAACAACAAAAGTAGTGACAATAGGCATTGATATATTGGAGGGTGAAGCATAATCCGCAAGACGTTGAAAATTTGGAGGAGATGCTGCTTGAAGGGGGAGTCTACAGACCGACACAGAATGAGGAGCGGAAGAAGTAACCACGGGAGGAATCCTTTTGAAAAGTTGTTGTATCCGTGCATATCTGTGAAAGGGTTGGAGAATGGTCCCTTCTGTCAGACAATGTGGTAAATCTAATGTCATCCTATTAATATCTTCATTAGTGAGAGCAGGAACTCATCGGTCAAAAGTTATTGCAATATGGAAGAAGCCTCCAAATCCGAAATATTAAACGGGTCTGAAGGAAGAGAGAATCGTCGTTCCAACCGTATATGAGTGAGTTTGTTTCTTTTCCACTCCGGGAAGTTTTCCTATATTCATCCATCTTTTATGACTATGACACTTTTGACAAACATTTCAAAAAACACCTCAGTCAAGACATTTTGGATGCCAACCTTCTTCGCATCGTCACACCATCTAGCAAGGTAAGCACGCAGATTCGGAGTGCTGATTGTGGTGCATCGTTGTCATCGGGCACCACAATAACTTCCGAAGGACTTTGTGGTTGTGATGTGGCGCAAACATCTCTTTCGCGTCCACTGCATTAAGATTGTGAACACGAATTATGAACACGTGCACATCCAGCTAGCGGTGCACAAAATAAAAGAGATGCAAGTGCATCATCAGGGAGCGTATTCAGCACTCTCATAATATGAGTTCCCGTTTCATCAACAACAGGTTGTCGTCCCACCTGATTATCATCCAAGGTAGGCTTGGACACTTCAGGGGAATCCAAAAGATCAGTTTTCACACCACGACTCTTTTTCCTCTTGAAAGTAGATTCAATACAGTCTTCTTTCGAATCGCCCGTAACGTTATCATCCTCATCATCGGCAAATATAAGGTTAATATGCCTACCCGACTAACCTCTATGCGAACTATCCCCATCGACACGATAATCGTCACCACCCCCCTCCACAACCATGTTCTCAGCATTATCAAGGGTATTCTCTTGCGAACATCAACGTTCAACCTCACAAAGAACATGATGATCGTCCCGAGGATGTTCACTTCCAAGATTCACCGACCTCTTATCATTTTCACTTTTCTTCGACCTCTCCGAATGTTCGACTCCAGCTTTTGACGTAACATTCATATCATATTGAGTGGTATTGTTGTTTCCCATTGTTTTCCTCTTAGCACGAGTGTCGTACTTATGCCGCATTCGGGAGTCGCCTGCAAAGAAAGAATATGATAAAATTATTTGGAATGTCAAGGTTCGATGAAAAGAAAAAAAAACAGGACTCATTCCAAAAGTTAATGATATACAATATTCTTCGTTAAGAAAGTTTTATCAGGCAACGCAACACGGATGTTGTTGGGATGGTCAACACTCGACAAAGCAACGTATAGTTGATCATGCGCAAAAACCGGTTTGCATAACCAAACCCCGACACACGATATGGTTTGTCCTTACGACTTGTTAATCGTCACAGCAAAAACGAGACGGATTGGAAAGTGCCTCCTAAACCATTTGAACCAGTTATCTCATCATCGCTTGTCAAATCAATCTTGGGTATCAGTGTTGTTTCACCCGTGTGCGTTATTGTCACTTCCAACAAATCATCATTAACGATCTTCTTCAGAATCAACCTTCTACCGTTGCAAAGTCCTTGTTTCGGTGACAAATTTCGCAAAAGCGTCACATATGCACCAATTTTT